CAGAAATGGCCGCGCGCAAAGTTCGCCTGGACAGCGCGCCCCGCCAACCTGCCGTCCAACCAGTGTCCCAACCACGCAACCGGGAGAGCGCGCCCTGCAGGCTTCCCGGCCTCCAAAGACGGGCGCTCTTCAGACTCCAGCCCCCCCTCCCCAATCAACCGCCCTCCCCCAGCCGCAGCTCCCTCCAGTCTACACCTCCACTTGGGCCTCAGGACTCAGCCCTAAGGGTCTTCCGCAGACGGACCTTGGACCCCAGTCTGTGCGGTTCGCGCCCCGCTAGCCCCCGAGAGTCGCGCCCGCATCTGCAGAAACTACCTTCTTCCAAGACGGAGCCCCTCAGGCCTCACCGTGGGATGCGCTGCGGTCACCCGTCCTCTGGCCGCCGGAACTTATTGCCAGTCGCAGGGGCGCTGTCTTCCCGAGTGGGCGGTACGTCGCTGACTCAGTTTTTCCCGAGCAAGAGCAACTTTGCATCACAAATCACAGCTAGCTGCCGGATTTGGCACCAATCACTCAAATTTTTACTGAGTCAGCCTTTGGGTTTGTAGCAGTTTGTTAGTCTAAACTGGGAAACTGCACTTCCACAAATTCCCCTCCACTCCTAACCCCACAACCCCCATCTCACACACACACACACACACACACACACACACACGTACACACGTGGCTTTTTCACTCCTCAGGGGAGCAGCTGATTAACTCAGTCACCCTGAGGTGTAACTATGTGAGAAGAAATTCGTTTTATTCATAGTAGAGATACTTGCTTTTAAAGAACTATGCACACCTTGAGTGAAAGGAGTGAAACCTTTCATGGTGTGACATCAGGTAAGAACCTCACCTTGCCTTTTGGTTTGCTTGCTTTTCTCTGGGCCCGAGACTTGAATCTTGTCTCTAAAATCCCACCAGGTAAGGACACTTTCTTGGCTTAAGAAGGACTGGTCCCAGGCAAGTGTAGAGGAATAATTATAAGTTATTAACTTATGTGAAAATTCTTTGCGGCTCCGTGGACACAGACATGGCATGGACGTGTAGGGGAGTCAACTCCCAATGGGGCAGAGCGTGCACCAATGGGAGATAGAGGCCAACAGAGAAATCCTTCCTTTTCTCTAGCACAGTGGTTCTCAACCTTGGCTGCACATTAGAATCTCCTGGAAATCTTTTTAAAATTCTGATTTCTGGGCCTCATCCTCCGGAAACTCTGTTTCTTTGTTACTAATGTTGTGGCCTCACCACATAAAAAAGAAACAGAATTTTCAGAGGATGAGGCCCAGAAATCAGGATTTTGAAAAGATTCCCAGGTGATTCTAATGTGCAGCCAAGGTTGAGAGCCACTGCTCTAGTGGATGTTCTTGAATCGTAGTTGCTTAGCTGGCCCCTTGGAAGATGGAGATCAAGCGAGCCAATGCACTTCATAGCAAGTGGTGGCTGCTTTGAGAACAAACCCTCATATTGACTCTTCTCCCTCCATTTCCTGCCCCTTGCTCCGGTTCCTCGGGACACTTCTGAATAAGGTCCTTACACTTAAGCCCTTGCCTCAGGTTCTGTTTTCTGGGGAACCCAGGCTAAGACAAATGTTGTTTGAACCAATCCTGACGGCCAGAGGCGCTCGTGTGCTCCTTGGCGAAGGCTCCCATGGCCTGACACCATCACAGCGACGATGGAGGGGCTCCAGATGTGAGAGAGTGGGATGGACACGGGGGTGGGGGGTAGGGCCGCGAGCCATGTCTGTCGAGAAGGTGAGGGCTGTGTGTACCTTACCCCAGCAATGAGTGTTCACTCTGGTTCCTTAAACCCGTGGTCGGCAAACCGCCGCTCGCGAGCCACATGCGGCTCTTTGGCCCCTTGAGTGTAGCTCTTCCACAAAATACCAGGTGCGGGCACGCACGTACAGTGTGATTGAAACTTCGTGGCCCATGCGCAGAAGTCGGTATTTTGTGGAAGAGCCACACTCAAGGGGCCAAAGAGCCGCATGTGGCTCGCGAGCCACGGTTTGCCGAGCCGCAGTTTGCTGACCACTGCCTTAAACTGTCCCATTTCCAGTTGGTGGGCGTTATTTCTCCTCACAGTGTCTGATATCTAGTAAGTGCCTTTTAAAAACATAAGGGTGGCGTAAGTCACATCTAACATCTTTCACGTTGGCACTTCTGGTTTTCACAGGGTGACCGAGGACTTGTAGCTGCTATGGAGAACCACCAACCACAACCACAGGCAGAGAGGAAGTAGCTTTTTCTCGAGATGAACTGACTGTGGTTCCTCATCCTCCCCCCCGCTCCCCCTGGGTTGGGACAGAGTTCTTTTTTGGTGGTCACTGGGGCTTCCAGCCCACTTCCGAGGTAAGGCTTGAGAGATTCGGCACAGAGTAGAACATTCCAGGAGCCTTCAGGTCTTTTGTTCTTTGTCTTTGCTGTTCCTGTTCGCCCAGGCTGCCCTGTATGTATCACATTTCAGCATGGGAGTCTTCCTGAGCCTGGAGCCCCTACTGAGAGACCCCTTCCCTCCAGATGCTGAGATAGAGTACGGAGCCCCACCATCTACTATGGGGAGCCTCCAGCTGCACCCTCTCCTAAGCGCATGTGATGCTAATCCTCTTCACTTGCTTTGAAGCCTCCTCCTCCCTGCTGGCTCTCCCAACACAACACAGAAGTGCTATTGACTTTTCTCCACCTGCAGATCCCCCATCATCATAATCTCAGAACGTTTTGGCCAAAGGTCACTAATTGGTAGACTGCCAACCAAATACTGCCCATGGCCCTGTTGTACTGTTTTGTTCCCAGTGTTTTACAAAACAGGGAATTTCATGTATAAATGCAGATAATCTGGCTTCTCTGGAAAGATCAGAATATTAGCAATGTTGGATACTCATTACAAGTTGGCTGGGGTGTGTGCCCTCCCATTTGGAAAGGTTCCTACCATAACATGTGACTTCACCTCTGGCCCCTATAGGCATTTTGGTGAGAGTGTCATGTTTATGTCATTGATTCCATGAAGAGGTACTGAGTACCTTTTCCATGCCAGTCCTTCTTCTGGGCACAGGATAGGAAATGACAACAAGGACCAAGTACCCTTGATGAAAGGAGATAGATTTTTAAAAGTAGAGGCACAGTATTTAAGATGTCAGGTGGTGGCAACTGCTATGTAGAATTTAAAACAGGGTAAGGTTATATCAGGTTGGGCACCATCTTTTTTTCTTTTTTAAAATATATATTTTTTAATTGATTTTCAGAGAGGAAGGGAGATGGGGGGAGAGAGAGAGAGAGAGAGAGAGAGAGAGAGAGAAACATCAATGGTGAGAGAGAATCATTGCTTGGATGCGTCCTGGGGATCGAGCCCACAACCCAGGCATGTGCCCTGACCAGGAATCGAACCGTGACCTCCTGTTTCATGGGTCCACTGTCAACCACTGAGCCACTCCAGCTGGGCAAGGTGCCATCTTTTTAAAACTGTTTCTAGAAGGTCCATTTTGGGGTAACGTTTAGGGGCAATGAGGGGCTTCACAAAGCCAGGGAGAGAAAGTTTCCTCCAAGCTGCTCCCCTTCAGGCCTGGGGGTGAGGAAATAAACAGGCCTTTTTGGAACAGTAACATACAGAGGCCAAAGCACCGAGCGTTCTCATTTGTTCTTATTTTAATCACTTTCCAGTTGCCAGTATTTTTAATACCTAAAGCTAAGATTCACATATGGCTTTTACCCCTACCGTGGCATGAATCAGTTCTGTTTTATTTCTTATATTTTGGGGAGCTGCCCTTTCTGCTTTAGTCACCCTGTTCACAGAGCAAGCCTTTCTAATTTGATCGCCGGGGGAGGGTGTGCCGTTTTCCCTGGGGTTCTTTTCTTGGGCTATGATCACAGCTAGTGAGAAACGACTCCATGCTGCCTACTCATACCCCAGGATTTGGCCATCCACACAAACATGATGCTCCTGTGAGTTCACTTTTCTATTTAGAGAAGCATGTCAGCTAGAAATACCTCTACCTCGTTTCCCAGACGCATGCGTGTTGAGCGCGTGGCCAAAATAGCCCCCTGAGTAAGTGGCAGCTTTAAAAGCCATCCAGCTGCTGACTTCGAACTCGAAGGTCAGCAAAGGAAAGTGGAAGCTGGGTTCTGAACAATCAAGGTGGCCCAGAGTTGAATAGTGGTCGGGATTTGCGAGACTTGAACGACTAGACTGAGGCTTCTCCTTGGACTCCTTGCCTGTCACCTGCCCCTGTCGCCTCCTCTGGGAAGTCAGGATGAATGTGCAGGCTTGCTCTAGATGTGGCTATGGAGTGTACCCCGCTGAGAAGATCAGCTGCCTAGATCAGGTCAGTAGACGTTGCTTGGCCTTTGGGAAGAATCACAGATGTGGGAAATTTATCTTCTCACGTAGGGACATGTGGATTCTTTTGAACCACCCACAAAAGATGTATTTCTCACCCTTTCGCAGTTCTACCCAGTTCTAGCTATGTCTTCTATATTGTCTCAGAAAATGTCACTCATTTATATAAC